ACATATAAAAGAAGTATGGTTTTTAAATTTTAGATGACTCCAATTAAAATGAAATAAATTAATCATAAGAATCTCAAAATGGAATGTTTGATCCAAAACATTTTTTATATTTTTAATAACAAAAATTTTAGATATATAAATTAAATAAAATCTTATCAATATATATTAAACAATAAAAATTGTTAGTTTAAAAATATTATCAATAATTTCTTTTATTTCATATTATATATATGCCACGTATAATTTAAAAATAGATAAAACTTTTCAGAAGTTTTATATATATATATATTGGTGTCCGGAAAGTTCGTGGCGACTAACCTATATAATTTAATAAATGTATTCTAAAATTTAAATCTTCTGCGTTTCAATTTTCCTTCAAAATCGGCACGGAACTTTCCGTATATAATACTTTTTAAGTAAAATACAAATCCTACCAATAAGTTAAGTTATATCTCATATAATATACAACAAAAAAAAATCAACTAGTACAAACAAATTGAATTGTATAACATGACATATATCAATATACAATAAATTGATCAAAAACAATCTAATTAAAACAAGGTCAATGAAAGTTCAGCACAATTAACGAAGCGCAAATATATTTGTGCAAATATATTAACCGCACTGAACTCTCATTAGTCTTTTAATTAGATTATTTTTAAATTTTAGAGTCTACTGTAAGATATATAATAAATTGATATATATTAATATAGACTCATAATTCAAATATTAGCAAAAATAGATACACGATAAGAGAAAGGAATATAAAAAGATATTAAAGATATGTATATATAAAGAAAACGATATGGTATATTAACAACGAAATAAGAATACACCGCTGACATGTATAGTTAATTTACAATCAACATTTCCAATCTTGAAACATAACATTTCTTATTCAATTAGATTTCTTAATATATTTTGTCACATAATATATACATTTATTATTACTGATGTACTCTATAAGCAGAGATTCTTAGGTTTAGTCGTTGCACATTAATTTCATAGTTCGGAAATCAAATTTTTTCATAAAACATGATCCAGAAAAGCGTAGAAATCGTTCTCACTTATTATAGCACCAATTACATCCGATACAGTCATTTTGCTTGATACAAATTATACAAATTTATTTTTTCAATTTTAAATTAAAAACAAAAACTATTAATAAATAACATAAATACGAAACGTATGTAATAAACATTAACAATAATCAACATATAATTATAAATATTGCATTCTACACGATATATAACTATAATAATTATTTTTAAAATTAGCTCAATAAAAAGGGTGGTATATTTTTATAATTTTTATTTGATACAGAAGTTATTGTAATCTTTAGTAGACTATCCTACATTTAAAACATATGATTATATAGTTATATATATTTTTTCTTGTCTATTTTGCGAAAAATTTATGTAAAGACTGTATCGCGATGGTAACGGAAGACATTATTCTCTTATACTTTTACACATACCGCGTTTATATTGATAAATCTAGCAAAAGAAGATATTTACTTTGATACTATCGAGATAACACAAATATTTAACAGATATACAGTTATTAGGAAAATGTTTTTTTAAACAACTTTTAATCTTGTATTGTCTGAATGCATATGAAATATACAGAAAATACAGAAAGAAAAGTTTTTTTTATGTCTCATCACGTGTAATATAAATATTTTTATAGAATGTTTTGATTATGATGCACAATGATAAATAGGAGAAGCTTAAAAAATTGGGCATGTGTATTGATGCAGTGCACATTTCCTATTATACATATAAACGGACTTCGGTCTTTTCACGGCACTTAGGTAGAATTTATTTTAAAGGCTTCTTTTGATTAATTTGAAGCTGTACCAAATCTACAAATTTATAGCATCTCTTTAATTTGTTTCATTATTATGAGTATCATACTGATTGATTTTATATAAAATGTATGAAATATCTCTTTGTATGACTGAAAAGACCAGCCAGTCATGTGAGTATTTTTTTAAGTCTTTTATTTTATGTGTGTGTGTGTGTGTGTGTGTGTGTGTGTTTGTGTGTGTTTGTGTAGGTGTATTTAAAAGAAATATACTTAAGTTTTATACAACAATAAATAAATATTAAAAAATCAGCATATAATTTTAAAAAATAATAAAATTCCAATCGAGCAATATGCTTTTATAACATAATGAAAAACCATGTAATACTGCACTTTGCTATTTATATATTGTATATATAAATTTTTTATATAAGATATCTTTTTATATCTCTACTAATTAGAGATATACAACTGTTAATTAACTTAAATCAAACACGCTGTGTATATATATATATATATCTGAATATTTAAAAGTTTTATATTAAAGCTAATACAGCATGCCATTATTTATTATAATTAAGATATAGTTTAGCAAAAAATTGATATAATAGATTTACTCTTTATTTATTGCATTAACATAAGACGGAAACCACAATTGTTGTTGAAAACCTACACACACTCTATCTGAAGAAACATACTTAGATCTTCCCTTCTGAATTATCACTTTTGATAACTTCCTACATACACACATACACACACGCACGCATGTACACACATATGTATATGCATATATATTTACTTATGTGAACATTTTTATGTATCTCATTTTTACTTTACGGTGTATGCATACATTTTTGCATTTCAATCTAATAGGATATAATACTGTCAAGAGACAATTGTCTGCATTTATATTTTACGTGCACATATTTCGGCCTGCCGGAATTTTTATTTACATCGCATAATTCCAATAAAACGAAAATAATGCCACTTAGAATTACCATATCTCCAATACCGAACGCTTTTTGGTAGATATCATGACTAACATTACGTAAAATATTTCGCACAAATTTAAATTTAAAGCGTCGCATATTATAATACATAATTATTAGTGATTCTTATGGAAGCCGTGTGTATTGTATGCAAATGTTATGTTTCGAATATTTAGCACAAGTGGATATAGAGTATCGACCAATTTTCTTTTTTAGCATGAAATCAATTACCTATAATTTTCTTCGATATAATTCTATATGTATGGATGTAATGCCAATGCTCTGCCGCGTAAGCCTTTTTGACCTCCAACACCACCCTTTGGTATAACATATCCTCCTGCATGTCTCGCTGTACCCTCTTCCTCTAAGTTGCCATTACTTTCAATCAAATCGCGTAAGGGCCAACAAGCCAAGTGACGCGATTTACCGTGACGTGCCAGAACATGATATCCCTGTCTAAAAATATTAACATCATAGTAATTTTAACAATCACAGTAAATTTTTTCTGTTCACTTTAAAATACGCTTTAAAATACATCTTAAAAAAGCAAATAAATGAATTTTAATGAAAATGAAAAAAAAATAAAATTAATATTATATATATATA